TTTTTTCTTTCAGGAAAAAGCCGGACCAAGGGATAGGGTTTTACAAACTAAACACATCCCTCTTGAATCTAGATTATTTAAAAAACTACTTGCAGGACGTATGGTCTTACTGGCAAGAACAAAGAGATCAATTGAAAGACGACATACTATGGTTCAACAACGGCCTAGCATACGTGGGCCGCAAGTGCAACGAATTCTCCAGAGCTATAGCCGCACGCCGTCAGGCCGATGAGATAGAAGCTCAACGTCGCCTGTGTCAGCTCCATCAGCAGGAGGACACCACAGGTGACATAGACAATGACACCGCAAGGGCCATACAAACACAAGAAACAGTTCTGCTATCCCATATGGAACACAGATGGCAAGGTACCAGGATCCGGGGTAAACTGGCAAAGCACAACACGGAAGGTGCAATGGACGCCAGATTCTTTGCTCTGGCCAAAGTCAAATCAGGGAGAACGGTAATCGAAGCACTGGAAGACCCCAAAATCATCCGGGGTCCCCTGGTTACATCCACAGCTGCATGTACCAAAATAGCCAGAGATTTCTACCGAGACTTATTTACCTCCACCTGTGGCCCCGGGGAACAACGTACACTTCAAATCGAGGACTTTTTGGCCCCATTGAACAAAAACCTCACGGCCCAACAACGAGAGGCGCTCGAACGCCCGCTTTCTAAAGAAAAAATTATGGTGGCACTCCAACAAATGAAGGAGGAGAAAACCCCGGGCATCGATGGCCTCCCAAAGGAATTCTGGGAATCAATGTGGCCGACCTTTTCGCAAGATCTCATGGACTTCTACCATGCGGTCTGGGAAACCGGCCAGATGGAGGAATTCGTTGCTCAGGGGGTGCTAACGCTCCTCTACAAAAAAGGGGACAGAACCAACATCCGAAACTATAGACCGATCACGCTGCTAGCAGTGGTCTACAAGCTGCTTGCCAAGACCCTGACACACCGCCTGGAACCATTTATGACAGATATCATCCATCCAGACCAGACGGGGTTCATTCAGGGCAGAAATATACAAGACAATATCCTCCTGGTCAACGAGGTGATCAAACTAACCAGGCAGGCCCGGAATAACGCAGCAATCATCTTCATAGATTTTGAAAATGCCTATGATCACGTTGATTGGTATTTCCTCAACAAGTGCCTGAAAAAGCTTAACTTCGGTCCGGTCTTTCGCCGCTGGGTCCAAATTCTGCACACAAACGCGACAACTAGAGTCATGGTGAACAACAACCTGGCTCCTCCCATCGAGCTCCAGAGGTCAGTCAGACAGGGCGACCCCATCGCCCCTTACCTTTTCGTTATAATCATGGAAGCACTAGCAGCCAATTTGAGAGCTCACAAAGACATAAGCAGGATCCGGGTGTCAACAATACCCGAAGATGCAATTCCAGTTTGTTCAATGTTTGCTGACGACCTCACTCTAATGGTAGATGCAACCAAGGAATCTATGGAAGGAGTGCAGCGAATGATGGACCGCTTCTGTCAACTTTTAGATATGTCAGTGAATTGGGGTAACAAGACCCAAGGCTGGTGGATACACCACCAGGGAGTCAGACCCCCGGAGCAACCAAGTCTCAGGTGGCTCCCGAAGGAGGCCCCCATAAGAGTGTTGGGGATCTCAATGACGGCAGAAGGTAGGCCGCCAACAAACCAGGACTGGATCACGGCCCCACCCCTCGCAAAAATGGCACTTTGGAAGGACAAACATACCTCGCTATGGGGCCGCGCTCTCATAATTAATAACGTGGTACTAGCCACAATGTGGTACAAATCAGCAATCTGGGCTTTGGATAAAAAATCTTTGCGCCCCTTGCAACGTCAAATTGCTGCCTTTCTGTGGAGAGGGGCCCACGATAGACAAAACGTTATTAGCCGCGTGGCATGGCACTCCATAACCCTGCCTAAAAATAAGGGAGGCCTCGGCATCATCGACCCGCTCACGCAGACAAAAGCACTGGCAATCCAATGGATCAAACGACTCATCTTCGACGCTGAGCCCCCGTGGCGAGCCTTGACCCTGGAACAAATCTCCAGGCTTGCCCCCCAAACAATGAAAGACAAAGATCCATTAATGTGGCTAGAAAATAGAGGTTGGCCCATCCCCAGAGTACCACATAAACGGGGCGCTCAGCCCGACGCATCCAGACAGTCTGCCAGGGACGACCTTGCACACGACCCCTTCTGGCCAAATCTCTTAAACACCTGGCGAAGCCTTCCCCTCCCAGACAAAACTCCACCAGAAAGATGGGAGGAGGTGGCGCGACAACCTCTCTTCGGAAGTAGATGGATAACCGACACGAACGGCCAGACCCTCCACTGCATGGATTCACCATGGCAAGGCTGGGTGAAACGAGGGATTACAAGGATTCAGGATATATGAGACCCGCAAAGGAGAGAGTGGATTGAACCGGAACACTTCAAAGCAAATTTAAGGTACTGCCACCACCCCCAAGAAGCGCTGGAAAAACTGGTGGAAATAGTCCCCATAGCCTGGCTGAGAATCCTGCGTGCAGGCCCTACCCTACAAAGGGATGACTGGGTGGCGGGTTTGGGTAGTAAAGGCGAGGTGGGTAGGGTCGTCTCCACTCACCAGGACGGGACTGTTGCCGTGAACCGCTTCCATTTAATGAAGGGAAATATCCTCCATAGAAACACTGAGGACGAATTGTCAGTTCACCCAAAGGCAGAGCTTTTCCGCATCAGGGTGATCCATGAGGACCAGCAATGGATAGCCTTCAGGCCATCCACCCCGATCCAGCAACTCCCCTTGGACCCGACGAAACGGTCATGGTCATCCCAAAGAAGGAGGGGAAATAATACCTCTAAATCTCTCTACGGCCTAACAGTAAAGTCAACTTACAGGCTTCTCAGACCAAAAACCAGCCTGGCTGACCAGGTGAGCGAGCGATGGAGATCCCACCTGAACGTTAGCCAGAGGGATCTCAGACCAGTAAAATGGTTCCGGCTGGCCAAGGCGAAACCCGCCAAGATAGCTTCGCTCCAGTGGCAGATAGAACACCGCTGTCTGCCAACAAATGATTGGCTAATCGACAGAATCACGCTGGAGCAAAGAGGTTTGGCCCTTCCCTGGTGTAAACTGTGTACGAACGCTTCCCGCTCGGAAGCGCCCAGAGACAATTGAGCACATATTCTTACAATGTCCGGGGGCACTATGGATGTGGAGATGGTGGGACAGAATCTGGAACCAATTAGGAACAGACACACCGTGGCCCTGGGGATGGAAGAAACTGCTTTGTGAAACCTGGCCCAGGGAACAGCTGGACCACCTTGAGGAATTCACCACTAATATGTTCCAGCTGGGATGCAGAGCCGTCCTCTGGGCAATATGGAAACGGCGCTGCACCTTCCAGATGGAAGGGGTAAGACTTGATGGCCCGGAATTTACCGAAGATGTAATTCAGCAGATCCAAAGTGAAATAACAGCTAAATGGAACACAGTTAAAGCTCATCTTCGAACACTACAAACACAGAAAGACACTAAATAAAAAATACAGGAATTCAGTTTATGCTGGCTTGGAGGACCCGACGGAGGAAGGATCGGGAGGGTGGAATGGAAAGGAGATCCTGGGGAGACAGGTGGGGGACTTTAGAGAGCAACAACAGAGAGGAACGTGGACCTTCAGGGAGCAGCAATAGAGAGAAATTACTGCCTCGAGTTTAATGACTGGGCCACAATAGATGCAGGGATCCCCTTGCGACCCCCTGAGGAATTCCCCGACCCCTTTCCCCCCCTTGCCCATAGCCTAGTGGGGATGCAGTGGTATGGTAGGTAGAAAGACAGATGGTTAAAAGGAATTGGTCCGCCCTAGTATAGCACACCTACCCGACAGCGACACAACTGAGAGGGGCCGGACAACAGCCATGATGACTATGTGTATCACAGTGTCTTATTTTCCTGTCTGATGTTGGGACGCTGGACCCGTTTTCCAGCAGGTGATGCTCCCCACCAATAGATGGAGCCTCTCCCAGATGGTAGCGGTGTCTGCTCTTATCAGCACCACTATCACCGCCGGGGGTGTTTAAAAAAAAAAAAAAAAAAAAAAAAAAACCAATTAAAGCTGGACACAAAGATTGCCAGCCTACCCAAGAAGCTAGGTGAACTTAGGGTCTCGTTAGACACTCCTAAAGGATTCCTAAATTCTTTCGGACGAGTCGTAAAAAAAAATTAGGATTTGCTGCAGCGTCATTGCACGCAATCCTAAAAAAATTCTTTTAGGAACCGTCCTAACAGGTCTCCCACGGCCAGTTCTCATATACGTATACGGAGCCGCGCCGTCGATGTCCGCCCATTGCCGCCTGGTGTCCATGGTACAGACGGCGGTGGGCCCTGGCCGGTTGAGGACGGGGAGGTGAGAAACGCGGGGAGGAAGACATTCGAAAATTGGAATTCGAATTTTCGCAGACGCAGGGAGGCGGGCTGGAGGATGGGCAGGCGACGAGTACGACGTACAAATGACAGCGATGGTGATCCCCTTGGCGTGGAGAGCCATCTTTCGCGTCTGCGCGAGTCGTGAGCGGCGTGCGAAGTGTTGTGTGGCAGGGAAGAGCACCGGGCTCATCTTCGGCGGCGCTGGCAGGCGTTACCCTTGAGAGGCGAATGGGCGATGGAGATGGACGTTTGCGGGGGAGGCCATGGGTTGTGTGAAGAAGAGAGGGAGGCGGTGGCGATGGCGGTGACTGCCGTAGTCCTCAACACGGTGAGCGACATGTCGTCCACAGACCGCGACATGTGTTTGCAGCTGCGGAAACGTAGAGCACTGTTGCAATGCGTTGTCGAAGCGCCGGATTGTGTGGCGACGTCTGAAGCGGTCGTGCAGTTGTGCTCGGTGCTCTCCTCCGACGTTTTCCCACGCGAGACGCCGCGATGGTGGATAAAGTGAAGGACTGGTGGAACTTGGGAGGATCTTCGGCTGTGTGACGACGCGATTGACGACTATTTCCGCGACAAGTTGCGTATGTCCAGGGCTGTCTTCATGGAGATCGTTGCCGCATGCGCCGCGCACGTTGAGAAGAAGGTGACACATTACAATATGCCATTGCCTGTGGAGCAGGTCATTGCTTTCGCGTTATTCAGGTGGGCGTCCGTCGTCCGGGGAGACGTACGAGAGCGGCACGTCAGTGTTCGGCATCGGCAGGGCCACTGGAGTGCAGGCCGTGCGCGATGTAACTTCGACGCTGTTGAAGGCGTACCCCGACTCGATCAAGTGGCCTGTGGGGCGGAGACGTGTGCAAATATTGCACGCTTTTCGGGAGAAGGGTTTCCCGAACTCTTCGGCGAAATCGACTGCACGCACGTGTACATTGACAAGCCCGCTGACGCACTGTCAGATAACTACTACGACCGCAAACAGAAGTTCTCCATCCAAGCGCAGGTGGTAGGCGATTTGGATCTGCATATCCTTGACGTCCACGTTGGATACCCGGGTTGTGTGCACGACGTCCGTGTCCTGCACAACTCCCATTTGTGGAGGTGCGAAAAAAACGGGGAGCTGTTCGACCCCCCTCCGTAGAATCTGCCACACGGTCTCGTCACGCGAGGTTACCTTCTCGGCGACAATGGGTACCCCATTGCCTGTCCATGGATCGTCCAGCCCTACGGAGGAATCGACCAAGGTCCTGACTAAGAACGGTTCGACACGAGGCAGAAGGTGGCGCAAGGGTGTGTGGAGAGGGCGATCGGGCGGTTGAAGTGCATGTGGTGTCTATTCCTGCACACCCACAAAACAAACTTGGAAACCTTGTCACAGCAATTCGTCGTCGTTTGCACTCTCCAGAACATCCTCCTGGACTCGGGGATCGAGTTCGACGAGAACCTACTGTGGGAGGTGGATGACAACGGCGTCCGGTGTAGAGTGGACTTGGATATTGTGGGAAACGGCTTTGGCGGGCAGCAACGAAGCGCGAACGTCGACGAGGACCTGTTGCTGGATGCACTTCGAGACCGACTGGCTTTGATGTAGGAGTCGACCAAGGTCCTGACGAAGAACGGTTTGACACGAGGCAGAAGGTGGCGCAGGGGTGTGTGGAGAGGGCGTTCACGCGGTTGAAGTGCATGTGGCGTCTATTCCTGCACACCCACAAAACAAACTTGGAAACCTTGCCGCAGCCATTCGTCGCCGTTTGCACTCTCCACAACATCCTCCTGGACGTGGGGATCGAGTTCGATGAGAACCTACTGTGGGAGGTGGATGACAACGGCGTCCGGCGTAGAGTGGACTCGGCTATTGTGGGAAATGGCTTTGGTGGGCAGCAACGAAGCGCGAACGTCGACGAGGACCTGTTGCGGGATGCACTTCGAGACTGGCTGGCTTTGATGTAGGAGCGTGCAGAGGGATGGGGGGG